ATACTACTCACTGGCCAATGCTGGATGACACTTCTACAGCTGTTTAATCTTCACCTGGAGCCATAACCTCAGGGGAGGTGGCTCCCATTGACTGAAGGAAATTCTTGGAAGGATTTCAGCTAGGAGATCCAGGTAGCGCACAATGGCATCCACTATCAGAGACACTATTATTTACATAAGACGTGCTTGGAATTGAAGAGAGAAATCTGAAGAGCAGCCAACAAGTGACCTAAAAAGAAGTGGTTGTTGGAATTAACTTGAAAGTCAGCATACTAGCTCCTGGATACAACATTGTCCAGCTTTAGCCAGGCTCATATATTACTCAGATAAAAAGTGACCATTATCTGAACAGAAAATCAGTAATGTGTTTATAAGGACAAACATGTTTGTAAGAAAAATGTGTCTGACTCTATCAAAAACATTAAGCAGACTAAATGGCTGCTCATACGCACAAAAGGGGTTGTGGCCGCCAGCCGAGCAGCTGTGGTGTGTGAGGTGGTATGCAGAGTTAGAATACTGCACAAAGTCTCGCTCTGTCACTTCCTGGATGTGAGAATTCGGAGACCATTTCTCCTCCCCAGGCCTCAACTTCTTAGTCAGTAACACGCAACAGGGGAACAAAAACAGCCCTAAGATCTCTTTCATCCTATGTGCCAATAATTCCAGATCTTTATTACCATTGTTAGCAAGAACAAAAATAATTACAAAATGGATGCCTTGGTAATTCCTTCATTTTCTGCTAAGTTAAATTTTGGGGCAGTGTCCTCTGCATTATTCACTTTCCTGATAATTTTTTATACAACTTTTTGCTTTTTATTGAAATGTTGTAGACCTCTCTTTTATTATTGAGGGTGCTTTATTCCTCATACTCTTTAACATTTATAATTTTGTGAGGTCAGTGACTTCACTCTTGCTCACTGTACCGTCCATGGAAGAGTATCTCTCACAAGCTAGAGGTATCAGTTATGTTTCATTATAGACACCAGTTCAGGCTAACTTAAAGGGAAAAAAGGAGGTATTTGAAAGGATATCAAGAGGTTTGCAGAATCAAAAGAAAACTGGGCAAAATGCAGCAGCATTTCAGAGGGCTGAGGAACGGAAGTCAGAAGCAAAGAACCATGTCATGTCTGGAATGGCCCCACCAGCATTTCCCTGCTATAGCAAATGAGCTCCGAGCCTTGATGCTATCTTTCCATCCCTTGCAGATTCAAATTTAGGGGAGTGAGAACTTTTTGTTGGCTGAGCTTCGGACTCATGCCTGCCTCTCTGTGTACCTTCATGAATCTCTCTGTACAGATTTCTCTTCCTTTGGGGGAAGGGAAGGAAATGTTATCCTTGCCTCAGCTTCCATAAACTTGTGGGTGGCGAGGGTACAGGAACTAGACACTCTTCTCCCACCAATCTATTCTCCAAGAAAGAGGTCATTCTCCAAGAAAGTCACGATATTTTAACCAGGAGAATGGATTCTGGATACACAGAATACCAATATTTGCTAGAGCAGGTGCTCAAATAATGTTTTAGGTGGATATGTGCTCATACATTAAATGCTGAAAATTTCCTCTGAAGCAAACAAGTGCTTTACTTTAACATAGGTGCATAAGGAAAGCTGTTTTAAATATTCTTCTACAGTAGTTGAGATTCTGCCTTATCTCCGACATCTATCTGCATGATATCCAGAATTTCTTTAGTGAAGTTTGAATCTATAGCTTAAGTTTGAAAACTTCAATTTGAAAGATAATATCCCTACTGTTGGGCACCAACGTATCATTCCAAACTTATTTTTCATTACTTCTCTCCACAGATATTACACTCCAGCCAAACAGACATTGTTTGTGAAATACATCTGCATGATTTCTCTTCTATTTTACTGTATCTCTCTTGTCCAGAGCAAAGTTATCTTCCTCAATTCCCCACCCTAGAATCTACCCTTCATCTGTTACTATAGCATTTTATATGTATCTCTTGTTGGTTTTTATTATTTTCTACATAGAATTAAAGTTACTTATGTATAGGTCTTATCTCCCCTTTAGTTTTTTTAAATAAACTTTTTGAATATAGGAGCTCTGTTGGGTCTATCTGTTTCTAAACATTTGAAGTGTGAAATATAACATATACAGAAAAGTTTACAACAGAAATTTAGTTATACCACTTTCTAAAATATAAAAGCTTTGTTTGATTTACTTTTTTTAACATTTTTACCATGATATATATTTTGGTGTGTGTGCATATATATAAATATATTTTATTTTTTATTTATGTGTATATATATACATGTATATATGTGTGTGTGTGTGTATATATAAAATTTGATATTCAAAAAAAGGTGCATAAAATACATAGGTTCATTTGGCTTTCCTTATCTACCTAGTCTCAACTTTCACCTTTCTTCTGAGCTCCCAGTTCAGGTTTCTTAAGTATTGAGGCACATCCCCAGAGAGGAGACATGTTAGCATCTAAAATACAACATATTATGGGGCAAACTTCTCACCTTTTTCACCAAACTAGCACTTCTTTGATATTTCTGACCATGTCATCACAATTGTTCAACCAATCAGGCAAAATCCAAAAAATTCCTTTAACTGATATGGACTTCACTAATGTTGGCCCAAGGATGCAGCATATATACATGTATATACATATATGTGTATATATCACCAATGTTGATATATATGTATATATATCAACTTATATATACACATATATGTGTATATATACATATACATATATGTCACTAATGTTGGCCCAAGGATGCAGCATACACACATACACACACACACACACACACACAATATATATATATATACACACGCATATACACACACACATATATATATATTTTTTGAGATGGAGCCTAGCTCTGTCACCCAGGCTGGATTGTGGTGGTGTGATCTCAGCTACTGCAACCTCCACCTCCTGGGTTCAAGCAATTCTCCTATCTCAGCCTCCCAAGTAGCTGGGATTACAGGCACCTGCCACCATGCCCCACTAATTTTTGTATTTTTAGTAGAGATGTGGTTTCACCATGTTGCCAGGCTGGTCCCAAATTCCTGACCTCAGGTGATCTGCTGGCCTTGCCTGGCAAAGTGCTGGGATTACAGGCATGAGCAACCGTGCCCAGCCTCAGCATATATATACACACACATATATACACATATATGTATATATACATTTATATATACGTATATACACATATACATATATACATAGTTGCTTCTGAGCTCTCTGTTTCACTCCACTGTATATCCCCACTCCAAAGCCAGCACATATTTTTGACCTAGGATCTGAAGTATGTGTTTATTATATTTGCTTGATTCATAGGTGACCTATGTTAAAGAAATAGTCCACTGTGGGCACTCAATGAATATTGTTTAAATAAGTGATGCTTGGAAGAAGAGGAAAGGAAACTGATATTTATTTAGTCAATGTGTTTTGCTAGAAACTTTATATACCTTAACTAATTTATTACTCCCAATAGCTTTCTGGGAATTTATTGTTGCCTTTTATAGAGTTGGAAAGTGAAGCTTGTAGAGGGTCCGGAGAGTAGATGATAGCAGCACATAAACCTAGTTCTTTTTCAATTTAAAAGACCACAGTGTTCTTTTACTAGACCTCATAGCTTGCACATTGTAAAATTATCACTAAATTCTTATTATTATGAGCATATTTTTAAAAAAAAGCTCTTTCAAATATCAAAAAAATTCTAGATTCAGTTTGACAACAATTACCACGCAAACACCAATTTCTATCACCCAGTTAGGAACAGAACAAATTAACTCCTCATATATTCATTTCCATTTATTCTGCTTGTATTTAGTTGTTGTTCATTCTTACACAAATAAAAATAGGTGAAAGATTTGGAAAAAAAAAAAAAAAGAAACCAAAATTGTGCTGAACTTCAGCAGTCATCAATATAGTACAAATTAAGACAACAATAAAAGACACCATTCTCTAACCAAACTGGCAAAATTTATAACTCCAGTAATACCAAGAACTGGCAGTAAGAACTCTCACACACTGTTCATAGGAGTAAAAACTGGTATAACTACTTTGGAAAATAGCATCACATTATTCACAAAAGTTGAAAATGGATGAACTCTACAATTCAACAATTCTACTTCCAGGTATATTTAGCCCAGAAAAATTAATGCATTTGTGCACCAAGATACATGACCAAAATGTTCACATCAGCATAATTCACCACTACCCCAAACTGTAGATAGGCCATATAAATGAACATGAAAAACTAGACTGGACAATTAAATTTTGTATTTTCTATTGGGTTATCTGTTTTTTTCTTACTGTTTTCTAGAAAGTTTAAAATATACACATACACACACACGTGTGTATATATAGACACATAAATATGCACACACATGTGTATATGCATATGTATATACAATAACTTTTTCTCCTAATTAAATATGCTACAAATATCCTATCTATCCCCCTACACACTTTGTGAAATAATGACAGACTAACAACTGAGAAATTCCATGTTATGAAGAGGAGGCAGAATTCTTGGGCTTGAATCTAGATACCCGATTGGTGAGATCCTACAGAAATTTTTCTGTAAAAGTATGATTTCTCTATAGGGATGCAATTACTCTCAAAGGCCCAGTCTCTTCACCTTGTTTGATGACAAGAAGTTCCAATTGCCTGTAGAAGTAACCAACTGAGGCATTAATGGTTCACCCTCTTCTAATCTGAAAGGCCAACTTTCCTACAAGCTCCTGCCAACATGCCATCTGCAATCCCACCTCCATACCTGAGTTCAGATGGTTGCTTAGGAACTCCCCATTCAGCTCTGCTTATAATATTATTACCAACAGCAACACTATAGTTCAAAAGAAGGTAGCAATTTTGAAGATGCTTTCTCACCCATTATCTCATTTAGCCTGCAAAACACCCTAAGGAAGGTATGGCTGGTGCTATTGTCTTCACTTTGAAGGTAAGAAAATTAGCTCAGAGATACGTGGCTTATACCAGCTTCACCACTGGCAACTGGCAGAGTTGTGACTAGAAAGTAAGATTGGAATCTTGGAATTCTGGGTTCCTTCTACATTATTCTTTCAGAGTTTGGCTCACGTCCTACATCCTCTGAGGATCTTCCTCTGCCCATAGGATTCTTTTTTGCCCCTGATGAGTTCTAATTATTATTTTCTAGACTACTCATCTGATAATGGCCACAAATGCCTTTGAACTATCATCTACCTAGAGGTATGTCCTCTGTTCCACCACGTTATTTTTAAGTTGCTCCTGAAGCAGGAACAATATTGAATATCAACTGGTTTCTTCATCAACTTCACACCATGCCTTTTCTGCAGCTTGTGTCTAGTTAACATTGGTTGAGGCTTGGCTATCACTGTCGGCTGTGGCACTCAAAGAGCCAACTCTATCAGACTGAAAACAAATATGCCCTGATCCATTCATGCTCTGTGGAATACTGGGAAAATTCCTGTTGGTAAAGTTATTGAACATTGAGCCATTAACCTCAAGGTGCATTACATCAGTAAACATATATGCAGAGGGCTTTACTTTGTGGAAGTAGGAATTACATCTTACAGTCTTACTTATTTGTATTCTTCAGAGTGCCTTCCACATGGCAAGGACTCATCATGAAAGAGTGTAAGCGAGTCACACATTAAGTAAGACCTCCATTGAAATTTAGTAACATATATGGTGACTTATTTTTTCAGAGTCTTGGTCAGGGAAGGCAAAAACTCAGTTTCATACCTCAGTTCCTCTTTTTAACAGTAGACAGGTAAGTTAACATCTCAAAGCTTTGGTTTCCTCTACTGCAAAACTGAAGCACAAATAACTATATCATGGTGAACAAATGAAGGTAAAAATATAAAATGTCTTTTTATACAACAAGTACTTTATAAAATATGAAAAAGTGTCAAACAAGATTTGGTTCTTTGTGAGTTTAAGCAAGTTAAACTGTAAAAATAGGGGTTTTTAATTGCAAAATGAGAGGATTGGTTTAGATTATTTTTAAATTCTTTCTTTGGCTAAAGAGTCTATGACTCTGCAATTACAGCTTCAGTTGCCAAGGAATCTAATATTTTAATTTTCCATTCCCAATACATAAACCTCAACAAATGCTCTAATGTACAAAGGGAACATCCTATTTAGAATAATTCAATCATAATCCATTTGTAAAAGAATAATCTATCCTGATATAAATAACTGCCCTGATTTATGAGTTTTCACACTCTCTTTTGAACATTTCAGGTGGGAAGTCCTTGCGCCTTTATCGCACTGTATTGGGCGGCAGGCCCTACACACAGGGTCTCTCATTCATCAGACAATTACTGCAGGGAGAGAGTGGGTGTTGTTATTAACCAAATGGGCATTTACTCTCCATTTGACAGATTTCCTATGTGAAAGGGAAGAGCTCCTCACAGTAATGTATACTCTGTGAATTGATGTCTTGCTGGCGACAAGACATCTCCTTCTGAGTAGCTTCTATAAATGAATACCCGTGTAATGTCAGTTTGAAATGTAGAGCTGGGAACTTGGAGGGCAGAAAGTTAAACAAGGAATGAAAATAAAAGCTTGGACTTGGATGGGACGAGCTTCACCTGGCTGTCCTTGGACTTCCCATTTTTGCTCAGGCATCTCAAGAGCCAACATGAGAAGTCCAGGGACAGCTAAGTGAAGAAAGAGCTAGTATAGGAATCTCAACGGTATGAAATACACGTTCATTATGATGGGCACATTCACATACTTAATATCATATTACCCTCACACTTTATCCTGTACATTGGGTTCGGTGAGACTAAATGACTTTCTTGAGGTCATACAACTGACAAGAACAGTTAGAATTTTCATCCAGCTTTTGATAGTACTCTTTTATACCTATTTACAGTCAGATGGAACACTTGTTTGAGGTGATTTCAACATAAAATATAAATATGTAGACATTGGGCCCTTAACTCTTAGGAGACCCACATTTTCCTGCTAAACTGAGGTATAGAGGCATAAAGAAATGTGTCCATGAAAATGATAAAATAGACTTTGGGGTCTCGATGGGGGAAGGTTGGGAGAGAGGTGAGGAATAAAAGACTATATATTGGGCACACTGCTCGGGTGCTGGGCACACTAAAATCTCAGAAACCACCACTAAATGATTTATGCCTGTAACCAAAAACAACCTGTACCCCCCAAAACTAATGAAATAAAAATTAAAATTATAAAAGAAAGAAACATGCCCAGATACACATGTTAATATATACTGTAATAGTTATCATATATAGACTCTAGATTTTAATTTTTTTTTAGAGATCTAAATGGCCTAGTGGTGAGGAAAGTTCCTGCTTGGGCTGGGCATAGAAAGAAGATGGGAAGGAAAAAGAGGAGAAGGATAAAAGGAAGTAAAGAAGGAGGAGCAGGAAGAGGAGGGAAAAAAGTCAATTATATCAAGTAGGGAAAATGTGTAGGTGAGATTGGAATGCACTCAGTGCTTGGACAGCTACTTCCTAGGCTCTTCTCCAAATGCAGATACTCTCGAGCTCTGTAGCTTTCAATGAGAAAGATTCCCATATACAGTGGATCCTGGCCTGTAAAGGCTGTTCTTCTTCGCGTGTTGCTGGATGGGCCTCATTGCTAAAGAAGAGGGGAGGGAGGGGGCTGAATGGGGGAAGTATAGGTTGTCCAGGCCTTAGGCTCAGAAGCTCCTGATCTTTTCAGGTGATGGCAACCGTGTGCTAGAGAAAGATATTCTCGTGTTTCTCATGTTCCATAACTCCTTCTTTGCAATTTTCCCTGGAAGGCTTATGATTTTATCCTCCTCAGACAGAGGCTGCCCTGTACATAATGGAGCCCAATAATCTCAAAACTAAATTGGCATTTTAAGCCAACTGAGTTAGCCAACCAAGATTTCTGGTTTTCATCTATAAAGTTAAAATTAATTTGTGGGTTTTTTTGGGGAGACTTTGAAATCATGACCTATTGTGGTGACTTAGATTAATGGCAGTTATAAACACCATCAAGCAGTTGATATGTGAAAAGTGAAATTAATCACCACTCCCCTCCCACGCACACAAATTCGCTCACACCATTTAGCACATGAAACAAGTCCTGAAGGTGGACTAGCACTGTGCGTCATCGTGCTGTTCCTAAGAAGTAAATTTCCAGGCAGGCTTTTTTATTCTTGTAGCATCTAATTACAGAACACTGGAATGCAATGGAGACCCAGAGGTGAGCTGAATTATTGAAAAAATAAAAGCAAAGACAATCCAGAAAGCTATTACGCATCTTCATAATAGATTCGCCAAACTTAAGGGTGCTAAGAAATGCAAGCGTTTGATTCAGAAAACAAATATATTTTTTTAGAGCTCTAGGGAAAATTGTTTTTTTTCTCTAAACCTTCTGGAAATTTTGGTAATTATGTTAGACAGAGACAAGAAACATAGAAGATAGTGTAGGCTCTCCGAAGGAAGTTATATTTAGTCAGGTTCAAATTTAACTAATTCATCTATTAAAGCATTTCCATACTTACGTATACAACAAGGTGTATTGTTTCCCCAATGCTTTAGCGAAAGGGAATGGAAATTGCAAAGGCACATGACTAGCAAGTAGGGTAGGAATATGGGTAGAGAAGGGAGAGTAGAGAGTTGGAAAGATGTAATCTTCAGTCACCTGACTCGATCTAGTGCCTTGTCCTTTAAATTACAACTTCCTCTGAAATATCATTTAAAATATTGAACCATCCTTTGTCTACAATAGGAAGTCCAACTTTCAAACTCACAGAACAAAGGAATAAAAAACAATACTGCATGTTCAGTTGATCAATATTACAAATGAAGGCGAAATCTTTATACCAAGTTTAATAGTGAATGAAAAATCCTTACAATTAAAAATAGGATGAGGAAAATTCAGTACATTCAGTTATATCCTTCAATCTTCTGCTTTAAAACACATCAAGAAACTAAAGCAAGAAAAGCTCAACTGTCCCATGCTGCTGTTCACTAAATATACTATTATCTTTCTAAGTAAGACTTTTCAACGTGCTGCTTTTTACATCTTCTAATAGCAGAAGTAACCGCTGTTCTTGGGGAAGAAACAACTGAAACCAGCCAAACATTAAAAGTCATGATGGCATTTAGGTGTGAGAGAAAGTTTATCCCTTAATTGCTTGCCTACTTCCCATTCACACTTAATATTGGGGGTAAAGTTTGTTGAGTATTTTCCAGAGGGCACTTTTCACTTCTTTGTTCCTAAGGCTGTAGATCAAGGGATTCAGCATGGGAATCACCACTGTGTAAAACACAGAGGCTATTTTGTCTGTGTCCATGGACTGGCTGGAGTTGGGCTGTAAGTACATGAAGATGATTGTGCCATAGAAGATGGACACAGCAGTGAGATGGGAAGCACAGGTGGAGAAGACTTTCTTCCGCCCTTCAGCAGAACGCATCCTTTGAATGGTGATGCATATGAAGAAGTAAGAAATGAGGATGACCAGGAGGGTGAAAAAGACGTTGAAGCCCACCACAAAGAAGACCACCAACTTGCTGATGCGCGTGTCAGAGCATGAGAGAGCCAGGAGTGGGGGAATGTCACAGAAGAAATGATTAATCTCATTAGAACCACAGAAGGAGAGTCTGAAGGTGCCTGCTGCATGGATAGAGGCATTGAGGAAGCCAGAGACATAGGAACCAGTAGCAAGGAGAGCACACACACCTGCTGTCATGGTGGTGGTGTAATGAAGAGGCCTACATACCGCCGTATGGCGGTCATAGGCCATGGAGGCCAGGAGGTAGCACTCAACAGTGGCAAACCCCACAAAGAAGAAGAACTGAGCTGCACATCCATTGTAGGAGATGGCCTTGTCCCCTGACTGCAATGCAGCCACTGTTTTGGGGGTTACAGCTGATGAGTAACCCAAGTCTACAAAGGAGAGGTTACTGAGGAAAAAGTACATTGGAGTGTGGAGATGGGAGTCTGAGTGGATGATCACCATCATTCCTCCATTCCCAAGCAGGGTTATGAGGTAGATGAATAAAAATGCCAGGAGGAGGAGTATCTGAAGATTGGGGTCATCTGTTAATCCCAAGAGGATAAACTCTGTCACTTCTGTTCTATTCTCCATTGTGGTCAACTTGAATTAGCCTGGTGATTAAAGAAGAGGCATCAACCAAATTCAAATGAAAGTATGACAAGGGATGATGGGATGATAAAAAAGGAGAAAACTAATGTATAGAGAGAACGTACTGTGTGTAAGACTCATGCTAGAACCCTCTGTTATATTATAGCTTTTAATTCATATGAGATAGGTGCTATTATGACCATCTTACAGACAAGAAAGTTAAGGCTCAGGGAGCTGAATATTGAGCAAGATAGTCTATTTAACAGTCACAATCAAAGTTCACCCCTTTATATTTCTGAATCCAAAGTCCATACATTCATCTTGAATTCTTTAACATATTTACATGATATAAATACAAATTATGATATGAATATAAGATTGTATGCATTTAATTATTAAAAATAAAAACATCCATCACTCAATGTCTTCCACATTCTACTTCCAATAATATAGCCTCACTAAAGATTTTCTAAATTTATTTTTCCTTAAAACAACACAAGTTTATTCTCTCAAAGTTCAGGAGGCCAGAAGTCTCAAATCAGTTTCACTGGGGCAAAATCAAGGTGTTGGCAGAACAAGGTGGTGGTGCCCTCAAGGTCTGTTTGATACTAAATCCAAAGATCTTAACCACAACTTTTGAAGCCTTTATAAATTAATCCCTCAACAGTAGTTCAACTGAAAGGGAGTATGGTATATTTAAATATGAGGATGTATTTATATACATATTTAATATGGAACTACAAATTTGATATATACAAATGTTTTTGTGTATCTGTGTATATGCATATGTCTTTTTTCACCCCTTATCAGAAGTCTGTTGTAGACCCTAATTACAGTTAAGTCCTCCTTTCTCTGCCTCCTCAAAGCACTTGAGTCTTAGCTGATTATTGTACAATTAGTTGGGCAACCACTCACTCTTCGCCTAGCTCTAAGCCCCTTGGGACGGTAACTGTCTTCATCCTCTCTGGTCCACCCACCTTATCATGGCCCCTCACACACATATATAAATATTTGGTGAATCGAACGGAACATCAATAGGAAAGTATAGAAACATTTTTCACGCTCTTTAATTCCACAACAAACCACCTATTGTCCTCTTGTCTACCAGGCTTGTGCTTTGGGCCAAAATATTAGCTTAGACTTGTCGTATGAAAAACATTCAGGAGTAACAGTGAGTTTGCAGATGGTCAGGCCTGGAGACAGGCTTGTGTCCTCATTTGAGAGCACTCTTTCTCTCCTATTTTTGTTCCTCAACCTCAGGTGTTCACAGGCTTTCCCCACTCCTAGTAGCAGAGTGAGTGGGAGCAGGCTCAGAAGAAATGAGGGAGAAAATGTTAGAAGAGAGGAGGAAAAAGGAGAAAACAGGAATTAAAGGAGAAAGATGCTTCAACTCTGCTGGACTTTAGCTTACCTTGAAGAGTAACAGCAGCCATTCGATTGGTGACACAAAAAGAAGGGGGTAAGGTAGCTTGTCATTTCTGGATGACCACTACACACACACGATGTGGCTAGTTTCATAAGAACTGGCTCAGTCAGCTTGGTACATTACTATCCAGTAATGTACCAATTGACTTTCTGACCAGTAGCACTTTCCATTATATTTATCCAGGCTTTTTGACTTTTCTTTTGGCTTCTGACATGTGCGTATACTCTCTAATTTTAGCAGACACAATATCCTGTAATCTATGACAGGCAGTGTTCTGATCTTACATATTTGGAAACGGAAGGATGTGGTGCCCCTTGAGGTCACATAACTACTTAACTGTAAAATCTGTACAATTCCAGAGCCTGATTTTTCAGCCTCAGCACTACTGACATTATGAGCTAGACAGTTCTTTGGTTCAGGGTGTGGTGGGCAAGAAGGAGTGCTGTCCTGTGCATTGTAAGATATTTAGCAGTTTCCCTGGCCTCTTTGTACTCATTAGATTCCAGTAACACCACTACCTCTCATTTGTAACAGTCAAAAACGTCTCCAGATGTTGCCAAATGTCCCCTGAAGGGTAACATTCCCCTGATTGAGAACCGCTGTTTTCGAGTTTATAAAAAACAGTGGTTCTAAAGTTTATAAAACTCTTTTTGCATTCACTTCTTAATTATTGCATGACTAGATAGATAGAGAGAGAGAGACAGCAGGTATAGACATGAAGAAACTGAGGCTCAGTGAAGTGAAGTGACTGGTTTAAATTCTAGAACTCTGGCCAAATATTGCTGCTTATTGGCAGAGGGACCCCAGGAAGGGATAACTGCTTGCTAAGTACTGTGGTCCTTTGACTAAAGAGATATTAGCCCTCCCATATCGTAAACCAACCTTTTCCTAGACACAAGGTAGGATGAAAACCTGGAAAAACTGCAAGAATAAAATTCAGCTGACTTAGGGTGGATTCTGAATATTTTTCCAAAATATCTTCTCGAATGCTTATTAGATCAATTTCCTTGGTTAATATTGACCACAGGAGTCTATTCACTTAAGCTGTAGGTTCAGTTTTTAAAAGCCATTACACACCCCCCACACACCATATTGAACTGCCGCTGACTGCCATCTTCATCTATCAGCAATTAATCTTCAAGGTACTTCTTTCTGTGTTCCCTTGATGGGCAACCCTTTCTATTACGCATTGCAGTCTCTGTTAATAAATGTGTTGAGATCCAGTGCAGCAAGGAGAAATCTGGAGTCAGTGCTGAGAGAAAAGGCCTCATTTACCCAGCACCAACCCTGGGAGGCTGCAAGGCCTGAATCCAAATCCTGCCACTGCCGCCGCTATATCTCCTCCCACTCAAGTCCTGCAAAACCCAGGCTTTTCTGCATGGGCCTAAAATAAATATCAGAAGGAGTCTTGAAAGAGAAAAAATATCTTTAAAATATCTAAGGTTGAATACTGAAATACCTAAGGTTGAAATATTAAGTCAAAAACTGAAAAAGCATTAAAATTTAAGAAATTATTATTGTTATAAAGAGATAAGGAGAAGTCTAAGCCATTAAGATAGCTTGGAAATAAAAAGTTCCATCAAAATTGCTTCTAAAGGGGTTTGAAGCATCACCCCCAGTCATAACAGCCCTGTTTGGGGAGTTCTAAAGAAGATTCTCAATGGAATAAATTCCATAAGGGAAGAGACAAGGCCTATATTGTTTGTCAGTGTTTTGTGCATTATTATCCACTACCTACACTCGAGGCAGCCACACAGTAGACTCAACTATTTGTCAAGTGGATGAGTGAATTAGAATCTCAGCAGTTGAGTTAGAATAAGAGCTTTAATGCTTACTTGCTGTGGGACTGTAGGCAAGTCAATCTTCCTTTATAGACAGAAGATAAAGTAAGATAAAATATAAGAAAATTCAGCCAGTGTGTGACCTCTAGCAGGTGCTCCATAGAAGCTAATTAATCAATCTTTTTATTAAACTGTAGGCCAATCGTGTGAAGTTATTTCCCAGGTTTTGTTAACACCAGTTGGTAGCAACACCCCATCTAGCAATGACTATGGCAATGGCTGTCTAATTAAAGGTAACCCAGAATTACTTATGGGAAACTTCTGTCTCTATTCTTGTGAAATGTAGCAGAGGAGGTTGGGGGAAATTGAATGAAGAGTCTTTTTATATACCTACTTCCGAGCCTCTTTTTTTTTTAGACGAACCCGTTATTTCTACCTACAGTGTGAAGAATACTGCTTTTTAAAAAGGTCGGGGAAAACATACCTATGTCCTTGGGAATTATGAGATCTCAATTCAGAACTGCTTCAACATTGGACTTTTTGAAGTCTGAAAAAGAAAAGAAAAGAAGAGCTGTTGGTCTCTAAGGACCTTGAATTTCAAATAGTGAAAGATTTCCTGAGGCTATGTGATAAAAGTGTAAAGGCAGTTCAGCTGCCGCTGCAGTTTGCTTGAGACTGTAAGTGAGCCATACCAAACTGTGTGAAAAGTCTGAGATCAGCTAGAAACTAGTGCCTATGTAGATCTGGGAGCCTCTGAAGGGGGGTTCCCTAAGGTCTCAATTCCAATCCAAGGCTCAGCAACATACAAACAAGCAATCAAAACACCACTTTCCTGAGGGAACTGAAACATTATTATGATATGGAGGCACCTCGAAGATCCCTTAGGGGACACAGGGGAGTCCTGGTTCTTCTAGTCACAGGCTAAGATTATTGATGAGCAAATTCTGTCAAAAAATGCTTTCAAAGGAGCTTGAGGATCCAGCCACTGCACACTCAGCCCACAGATTTCCTGTGATTATTGCAAGTTGGCCCTTTGGGGAGAAATTTTCAAAATGTCAGATTATAAATGATAAATTTTATCAGAATCTCCATTTTCCCAAACCCAGCTCTGTCTACAGAACTCAAAGTTTCAAAGAGCTCTGTGAATCAAAACATTTCCAGGAATTTTTTTCCCAATCAACCTGGTTTTAAATGAATTTTAACATGGTGCCCACAAGAAGCGAAGGATTTCTCTATTTCGGCTTCTGATAAATTTATATGTATATAATATATTTATATAAAATATAATATAGCTTCCTATGTTTCAAGCCCTTGGTTCAGTATATATTTGTATGTGTTATTTCACTTAATGTTCTTATAACTCTATGAGAAATATATTATCTTTTCAATTTACAGATGTGAAAACTTCTGTATATACCTAGCACTTAGATCTTTCTCTAATATTGTTCTCTAATAAAAGAAACCAGGGCTCCTTTGAGAAATGGCTGGTTCTAGCACTGGAGCCGGGATTATACCAGAGAAGCCTGGAGCATCTTGTAGTTCCAGAAAGTGAGGAAATGCTCAAGTCTGTCTGACCCAAATTCTATATATTTTTACACTGTGCTTTACTGCTTCTCTTGGGAATAAATGTGGAAAAGCAGAGATGTTCTCGGAATCTAGGAAACAATATTTCTCTTAAGTTCTCACAAATGCATGTTCCACTACAGTCAGTTACAAAAGTAGAGCTTATTTACTCACTTTTTTCTTTGCTCTCATGAAAACATTTCCAAGAAAAAGCCCCCTGTTAGAAAAATTATTTTTAACAAAAGAAGACATATAAAGTGGCCAAGCAAGTGGAAAGCTAGGTGATAGGAGTCCAAGGATATTTTTGCACACTGTTGGAATTTTGTAGCATCTAATCACCTAACCCACATGTCCAACTCTGAAGACTTAGGTTTCTTCCTCATTATTTAGTTGACCAATATAACAACCAAGGAAAAAACTAGAGAAAGAAAGAGGGAAAAACGGCTGAAGACAGATAAAGAGAGAAAGCAAAGAAAAGAAGGAAGGAAGGGGAGGGAAGAGAAGAGGAAGAGAGGGAGAGGAAGAAGATGAGGAATGAAGAGAAAACTTCACTTGTAGGATCAAGACTCTAACAACTGAGACAATCTAGCCTATATATCTGGCTTTATAAAGTAATTTAGTACTCTCCTTTATCAGTGTTTAATATTCTAAAAAATTAAACAGATAAAAATGAAGACTATTAACATGGTGAAGTGAGGTGGTTCAAGGTTTTAGCAAGTAAGAGGCCTAGAATCAGCCACTTATGAATGGATAACAGATGAATCATTAATCTTTTTGAACCTCATCATTTTTTCATGGCACCAAATATATCCTCTTTCTTTTCCCTCCAAAGACTCTTAATTCCTGGGAAATACTTATGCTTTTCCACTTTGATGTCTCCAGCGTCTTCACTGTTTGGTCTCCTCACAAGATCAGTTTGACTCTTCACCTCCAAATAGTTACACCCTGGGGTTTTAGAAAAACTAAAAGGCAGAAAAGGGCCAATTCTGAATTTTTGATTACTTCAAGGCCAGATACCAGGCTCTGTCCATCCATATTTGAGTTAATGCTGCCACCTTGAGGCCTTCTCAAGCTTTTCACCTGATGAGCCGTTCCCAGTGGTGGGGCTGGGAAAATGAAGACTTGTCTTCCTTGCCGCAATGATCAGTAAGTTCATACAGGAAAAAATGCTTTGGAATTACAGGAAGAATCAAGAAACCACCCATCTACTTAAAAGGTTAATTTCATGGCCACATAGAATGTCAGCACCTCTTAGGACCTTGGAGATCACCTAGGTGTTAAGGTACACCAGGCACCACAGCCCACAGGTGACAATTACAGTCCTAGAGCCAAATGTACGGGTTCAAATCCCAGTCCTCCCTTCTAGCTCCTGGAGGGGCTCTTGCAAGTCACTTAGGTTCTCCATTCCTCTCTTTCTCATTATGGGACTGTTGAGAATTAAAGTTAATCAACATAAGGTACAAATAAACTTTGGAGATACTGGGGGTTTGGTTTCAGACTACTCCAATAAAATGAATATCACAATAGAGCAAGTCACACAAATTTTTTGCTTCCTAGTGTATATAAAAAGCTATGTTTACACTATACTGGGTCTACTAGCATTATGTCCAAAAAATGTACATAATTTAAAATACTTGATTGCTAAAAAATGATGATGATCACCTGAGCCTTCAGTAAGTTGTAATTTTTTCTCTTGCTGGTGGGCAGCCTTGATGGCTGCTGACTCATCAGGATGATGCTTGCTGAAGGTTGGGGTGGCTGTGGCAATCTCCTAAAATAAAACAACAATGAAGATTGCTGCATCGATTGACTGACTTTCTTTTCTCTCTTTTTTTTCTTTTTTCTTTTCTTTCTTTTTCTTTTTTTTTTTTCTTTTGAGACAGAGTCTCTCTCTGTAGCCCAGACTGGAGGGCAGTGGTGTGATCTTGACTCACTGCAACCTCCACCTCCTAGGTTCAAGTGATTCTCATACCTTAGCCCTCTGAGTAGCTGGGATTACCGACACACGCCACCAGGCCTGGCTAGTTTTTGTATTTTTAGTAGAGACGGGGTTTCACCATGTTTGCTAGGCTGGTCTGGAACTCCTGACCTCAAGTGATCCACCCACTTCGGCCTCCCAAAGTGCTAGGATTACAAGCGTGAGCCATTGTGCCTGGTTGATTGACTTTCTTTCATGAAAAATTCCTCTGTAGCATGAACTGTTGTTGATGGCATTTTATCTATAGTAGAACTTCTTTCAAAATTGTATTAAGTCCTCTCAAACCTTGTCAGTGCTTTATCAAATAACTTTATGGAATATTTGAAATCCTTTGTTGTCATTTCAACAACGTTTACAGCCTTTTCCCCCAGAGTAGATTCTCTCTCAAGAAACCACTTTATTTTCTCATTCATAAGAAACAATTCCTCATCTATTCAAGTTTTGTCATGAGATTGCAGCAATTCAGTTACATCTTCAGGCTTTACTTCTAATTCTAGTTCTCTTGCTATTTCCACCACATCCACAGTTACTCCCTCCACTGAGGTCTTGAACCCTTCAAAGTCATCCACGAGAGTTGAAATCAATTTCTTCCAAACTCTTGTTAATGTTAATAACATGAACTCATGAGTCACAAATGTTCTTAGTGGTATCTAGAATGGTGAATCCTTCCAGAGGTTTTCAATTGACTTCACCCAGATCCATCAGAGGAATCACAATCTATTGCAGTTATAGCCTTACAAAATGTATTTTCTAAACAATAAGACTTGAAAGTCAAAATTACTCCTTGAACCATGGGCTGCAAAATGGATATTGTATTACCAGGCATGAAAACCACATTAATCTCTTTGTCCATCTCCATAAAAGCTTTAGGTGACTAGGTACATTGTCAATGAGCAGTAATATTTTGAAAAAAAAAAATTTTTTTTCTAAGTAGTAGGTCTCAATAGTGAGTTTAAAATATTCAATAAACCATGCTATAATCTAGTCTTTTCCGTTTATAGAGCACATGCAGAGTATATTTAGCATAATTCTTAAGGGTCTTAGAATTTGCAAAATGATAAATGAACATTGGCTTCAATTTAAACTCACCAGCTTCATTAGCCCCTAACAACAGAGTCAGCCTGTTTGTGGAAGCTTTGAAGTCAGGCATCAATTTCTCCTTTCTAGCTATGAAAGTCCTAGATGGCATTGCTTTCAATATAACGGTGTTTTGTCTGCATTAACAATTTATTGTGAGGCTGGGCACGGTGGCTCATGCCTGTAATTCCAGTATTTTGGGATGCTGAGGTGGGTGGGTCACCTGAGGTTAGGAGTTCGAGACCAGCCTGGGAAACATGATGAAATCCTGTCCCTTTCAAAAAAAAAAAAAGCAAAAGGAAAAGAAAAATTAGCTGGGTATGATGGCTTACAACTGCAATCCCAGCTACTCAGGAGGCTGAGGCATGAGAATCACTTGAATCCGGGAGGCGAAGGCTTCAGTGAGCCAAGATCTCACCATGGCACTCCAGCCTGGGTGACAGAGGGAGACTCTATCTCAAAATATATATATATATATATAGTTTAGTGTAGTGACTTCCATCAGTTATCTTAGCTAAATCTTCTGGATAACTTGGTGTAGTTTCTACATTAGCACTTGCTGCTTCACTTTGCACTTTTAGGTTCTAGAGATGGCTTCTTTTCTTAAACTTCATGAACCAACTTCTGCTAGTTTCCAATTTTTCTTCTGCAGCTTCCTTAACTTTCTCAGCCTTCACATAATTGAAGAGAGTTAGGGCCTTGCTCTATTAGGCTTTGACTTAAGGAAATGTTGTGGCTGGTTTGATCTTCTATCTAATATTTTCTCTGAATCAGCAATAAGGATATTTCACTTTATTATCATTCAGGTCTTTGCTGGAGTAGCACTTTTAATTTCCTTCAACAACTTTTTATTTGCTTTCTCAACTGGGACAATTGTTTGACACAAGAAGCCTAGCTTTTGCCCTGTCTCAGCTTTTGACATGCCTTCTTCACTGAGTTTAATCATTTCTAGCTTTTGATTTAAAGTGAGAGATATGCAACTCTTCCTTTCTATTGAACATTTCGACTCCATGTTAGGCTTATTAATTGGCCTAATTTCAATGCTTCATGACTTTCAGACTTATTTCTACCCATCAGTTTCTCAGAATTTTCTGAGTGTCTGCAGACTCCGCAGCCCCACTCAGGTAAATGCACTCTCTATGGATGTGTTTTCCTTCATCTCCTTTACCAAATCAAGGCCATCCAATATTAACTTTGCCACAATCTCTCCATCTAAATCCATCCTATCCTGCTCTGCTTTCCTACCTCAGAATTTCCCCCTCTTCTGTAGCAGGCTGCCCCCTTCATCTATGCCATTGATCCATCTCTACTTACTTTGGTGAGACTGTACTGTGGCAATTACTCCTGTCCCTCCACCCTCCCTTACTCATTCCTACCCCATTTGTCCACAGACATTCTAAAGTTACCCATCCCTTCCCCCAAAATGCTCAAGAATCTTTCTCCCATCCTAATATACTCTTGTGCTATACGAGCATCCTTCCTTCTACCATCGAAATGATCAAAAGTGGTCCACAGCATCTTCCATTCTCTCCTAATCCACTGCATTGTAGCTTCAACTGTTTCTACTCCATTATGTTGAAATAATATTTTTTCTTTGGTTTATTTATATTATTTTTAATTGACAAATCATAGTTGTATTACATTTATGGAGTATGATGTGATGTTTTGATATGGATATACAATGTGGAGTAATTAAATCAAGCTAATATAGTCATCACCTCTTGACGTTTTTTTGTTTTTTATTTTTTAATTTTTTGAGATGGAGTCTCACTCTGTCGCCCAGGCTGGAGTGCAGTGTCGCGATCTCGGCTCACTGCAAGCTCCGCCTCCCGGATTCACGCCACTCTCAGGCCTTAGCCTCCCTAGTAGCTGGGACTACAGGCGCCCGCCACCATTCCCAGCCAATTTTTTGTATTTTTAGTAGAGACAGGGTTTCACCATGTTAGCCGAAATGGTCTCAATCCCTGACCTCATGATCCGCCTGTCTCGGCCTCCCAAAGTGCTGGGATTACAGGCGTGAGCCACCGTGCCAGCCTTGACATTATTTTGTGGTGATACATTTGAAATTTACTCTGTAAGTTATTTTGACATGTTATTATTGACTATAGTCACCCTGATGTGCCATAAATCTCAACACTTATTTCTCTTGTCTAGCTGAAACAAGATTCTTAAAGGTTGCTCCAAGACTAGCTTCACAGATGTGCAAAACAGTACAGTCGCACAAGACTCTGTGCTCAGAAAAGTCCCACCCTTGGAGACTAACATCTTGTGATTGGCATATTCAAATTATTTAAAATGTTATCTTTGAATCTGCATTTTGTAGGTAAAGTCCAATGGGACAATGGAGCAAACACAGAAAACTTGGAACCCCAGCTCGTGCGTGGTCACACATTCTGCTGCCTCCCATTCTCCCCTCAATCCACTGCATTCAACACCGTTGATGACTGTTGCCTACAAGATGATGTCCCGCTTCCCAAGCCTGACATTCAAAGCACTCTAACCCTGAATAGTTTTTCCAGTTTTTATTTATCTTGATAGCCACCAAGCATCCTACTTTCTATCCACATAGACCCCAAAGTGACCATGCCTCAGTGTTTGGCACACCATGGATGCTCAATGAACGGGGTCCGTCCTTCACTCACCACACCATGTATGCTGTCCCCCTTTGATATATTTCATGCTGTTCCCTCAGTTTGGAATGCCCTAGTTTTATTTATTTATTTTTTTAATCACTTTTACTTGTAGGTTCAAATTAATGCTATCTCCAAAGTGAAGTTTTTCTCTGATGTTTTAAACAATTACGTGTGTCCTATTTATAACTTTTTTTTCAAAATGCCTTGTGTTATTTTCTCCTGTATATTATGTCTCCTTTTGTTTCTTTTCCCAGAACCCAATACTTTAGCTTCTCCCACGCCTATGTTCCTATCTATTACACAATCCTGTCCAGAAACTATCTTGTATGGACAAACTCATATTAGGGACTGAATGTGGGGGTCCTTCCTGGGCTGTACATTTTCTGAAGGCAGACTATGTCTTACTCATCTTAGGTTTCTTCTGGAACCTAGAACAGTGCCTTTTGACAGTAGGACCTACTGAATTATGCAAATCCCATCTGATTCTCTATTTAATAAATTGGAGAAGGCACAGGTGTATCAATTTAGGAGCCCACCTCAGGGAAATGTATTTGTCCTAAACAAGGTAGCTTTCAGATCACTAGATGTGATAGTTTAAAGTAGCACTGTATGCTTGTCATTATGAACAAACATGGAAAATTTGTAAACTGATAAACCCTGGGGCTATTTGCTAATGAATATAGTTTAAACCGGTGTCTTGAAATATATCTTGCTCCCACTTTTGAAAAGGAAACCGTATCTGTCTGCTATGTTACAAAACACTTGCATATGTAAACACATGGAAGATGGAACACTCTTGTTCCTAATGATAACTCTCATCTGGGCTCCTGCCTCCATATCATCTCTATCCTTTAGAATCTGGTTTAGTTATGTCACCTTACATCTCTTAAATCACCAATATCTGCATCTCTGTGGTCTCTGTCCAGTTACATCCAAAAATCACTTCTCAATTTTGATCATCTTTGGATCTAAACTTCTAACTCAACTTTCTTTTCCCTGAGTGAATGAATAAATGCTCAAAAACCAAAGGATATTTATGAAGGAACAGAACTAGTAAGTGGTAGAGCTGGGATGGAAACTCAAACCTGAAGTCAAGACCCACAACATAAAGTCTTCCCCACCTTTTAACTGCAACTCAACTACATCAGTCTCTAATAATTCATGTACCAAAAGACCACAATATTCCTGTCAGTGGGTTTGGTATTGGCTAACAGAGTACCATCCATCACCTAGCTGTTGATCAGAAAGCATATGGAATTATATCTTTGCCAAGCTGAATTATTTTACGTAATAGTGATAACAAAGACTTTCCTAGAAATTTCCCTTGGATTATAGTTAGACCTATGGCAGGCAGTGGAAAATCTTGGCCCTGGAAGACTCCTGAGCTCTTTTCTCATGGCTATGCTTCCTTGACCTGGGTGAGCTGTTTTCTATCTATGGGAAGTGGCTAACTGGATAGATTTCCTGTGCCATGGAAATCGTTCACTCTTGAGTATTACTTTGTCAATATGCTGCTACAAAGGAAGATTATGAGCTCAAATTCAAGCACTTCTAATCAGCATTTTCAATTCCATCAGCTTTCATCCCGAGCCTTAAAAAAGATTTCTAAAATCATACAAAAACAACTAAAAGCCTGCTATGGTTTCTCGGTCTCCATGGAAATGCTAGGAATGGATGTTGTGTTGACTTCTTCACATATCTCTTGGACTATTTTGTTAATGTCTTTTATGTATGGTACTTGGCAGTTTACAAAGCCCTTTCTCACTTATTATCTCAGTTAATCCCCACAACAAACCCACGTGGGAAGTATTATTACCCATGTTTAACATATTATGAAACCTAAATTTAGAGAAGATAAGTGGTTTAACCAAGGTTTACAAGTGGTAAACTCACTTACAGTTTGCAAGTGGTAAGTTCAACATTTAAATTTTGGTTTGTCTGATGCCATGGCTGCTACTCTTGCCACTATAACCAAAACTGTGTAGCCTAGAGTAGATCACTTTGGTGCCCTAGTGCCCTTGCTTGTCCCTTGAAAATTCACCTCATGGGTACTTTACATTGTTGATATACAGCCTAAAAGAAAGCATCCCCGACAAGGAATTAACAAACTTTAGTTCTGTTTCTAAATCAAGTCACCTTGACCTATTCATATAATCGACAGCTTCTTCCACAGGTAAATGGAAATAATAATCCTTGCCCACTTTCTCCCTTCTGTTATGTCCTCTACTAATACTCCCTTAGACGAAACACATTAAGCTTCATAGAGCTGGGAATATTATAAAACTTTGCAAATGCATGGCTTACCACAAATTCAGCCTTGTGATTACTGGTAATGTGAAGCCCTTTGTTATGATTTTCTTCCTTTTGTTTTTTTTTTTGTTTGTTTTTTTTGAGACGGAGTCTCGCCCTGTTGCCCAGGCTGAAGTGCAGTGGTGCGATCTCAGCTCACTGCAAGCTCCACCCACCTCCCGGGTTCGCGCCATTCTCCTGTCTCAGCCTCCCGAGTAGCTGGGACTACAGGCCCCCGCCACCACGCCCAGCTAGTTTTTTGTATTTTTTAGTAGAGACGGGGTTTCACTGTGTTAGCCAGGATGGTCTCGATCTCCTGACCTTGTGATCTGCCCGCCTCGGCCTCCCAAAGTGCTGGGATTACAGGCGTAAGCCACCGCGCCCAGCCGATTTTCTTCCTTTTAACCTTAACCCTCGATAACTTTACCCAACAAATGGCATCAGTTCCCCACTCCAATCTGTTGGCACTTACTGCTAGGTGCACACTGCTGCTTCCTACTCAAAGTGCCTGTGACTTAGAAGAAGGGCTTTCTTTGGCCTCAGAGTACATGTAGCTTGAGTACAAGGAAGACACAGTGGAGTGTAAGGGTTGGTAGACCACCCCTTGTACTCTACAATGAATCCCAGAAGTTCTCTAAGTATTCAGTTCCAACTTCCCAAGACAGTAACCTGTTCATTAATGCAAACTGATTTGGCCTCCTTGCCTTTTCTTTTTTGTTTGCTTGGTTTTTGGGTTTTTTGTTTTTTTTTTCAGGTGGAGTCTCGCTCTGTTGCCCAGGCTGAAGTGCAGTGGTGCTAGCTCGGCTCACTGCAACCTCAGCCTCCTGGGTTCAAGTGATTCCTCTGCCTCAGCCTCCCGAGTAGCTGGAACTGCAGGCCACGTGCCACCACGCCTGGCTAATTTTTTGTATTTTAGTAGAGATGGGGTTTTACTGTGTTGGTCAAGATGGTCTCGATCTCCTGACCTCGTGATCTGCCCGCCTCAGCCTCCCAAAGTGCTGGGACTACAGGCGTGAGCCACCGCGCCTGGCCCCTCCTTGCCTTTTCTTTCTCACTTCTGTCTCTCCTACCTGTACATCTAGAGATCACCTCCTAGATAGACTACACATGTCCTAGTCTCAGCGTCCACTTCTAGAAAAACCCCAAACTGTGAGACAATCCAGGATAAGTAGTAGCTTCACCAGGTAGTTTGTGTAAGGGACTGAGTGACAATTCCCCCCACCCTGTCTTTCTTTTCCTCACAGGGAGTGTGTTATACGGCCCATCTTGCCTCCTTTACTGAAAGCTCTGAAAATTTCACCTTGCCCAACTCACAAATTCTCTTATATATCCTGTAACTTTCTTAAGTCCTACTTTTCCTCCCTTTCAAAATTTTCAGATTGTCTTAGGAAAATCTCCAAGTTCTTCATTTTATTTTTGAGACTCCAATATTTTCTAACTCGTGTCTGAAAATGCAAGAGCACCTAGAGACATAAAGTCATATTTTCTAAGTATTACTGAACATAATGAAAATAACCACTTCCAACCTCCAAAGCACTGAAAAGTGTCCTTAAGGTCCCCCTCTCAGAATCACTATGTCTTCTTTTTCCTCCTTAACTTCATATAAACCCAACTTTCTTTAAGTAGCACCTTTCAGGATGTAATGGGCTGAATGTATGTGTCATTCCAAAATATGTTGAAGGCCTAACCCCAATGTGGAAGTAAAGAGGTAATTAAGATTAAATGAAATCATAAGTGTTGGGGCCCTGATCCGTAAGACTGGTGTCCTTACAAGAAGAGACACCAGATCTCTTGTGGTCTCTCTGTCTCTCTCCCTCTCTTTGTCCCCTCTTTTCACCCTGTGAGGACAAAGCAAGAAGGCAGCTATCTGCACGCCAAGAAAAGAGCCCTCAGTAAAGTCCCAACTTGCAGACCTTAATCTGAGACTTCTCATCTCCAGATCTGTGCGAAAATAAATTTCTGCAGTTTAAGACACCCAATTTATGGTATTTTGTTATGGCAGCTGTGCAGACTAAGACACAAGATAAATGTAAATTTATTTATCTTATAATTGTCTAATTTTTCTTTCTTTTTTGTTTGCAAGTGGGATATCAGGATGTTTTAAAACTATTTTTCACTACAAAAAGTATTGCAGTAATATCAAATATGTAATAGTTCTCTCTGGGTGATAATTAAACAAAGTAGCATGAATACCACGATTTCCAAAACAATTTTAAATCTCAGAGGATGACGACACCCTCCCAACCTTTTTCTTCACCTTTGTAATAGTGACAGATACTGCAAAGTTGGACAGGAGCAAGAAGTTTGTACTCTAAATATACAAGCTACCCACAGGATGACTTCACTTTAAACTATAGAGTTTCACTGTGCTCGGGTGTAAAAAGCATCAAGACTTGATCAAACACTATTTTTGTGTATTAGTTTTCCATGACGACACACAATATATGTTCTATACCAACACTGAGTTTATTTGTTCAATGTAAACAAAAAAAAGAGAATTTATTTGCTCACATACTTTCCTAGTCTATGATTAAGATGCTGCTATGGTAGAACTGAGTGGCTCAAAAAAAGAAAACACAGCCTCTCCATTACTCGGTTCTATGTTCCTCTGTGCTGGCCTCTTTCTCGGACAGCCTCCCCCTAAGTGATGATAAAAATATTTATCAGCAACAATGGGTTTTTATTATCACACAACTGGAATTCCAAAGAATGGGAATGTTCTTTCTGAATAAATCTAGTAAAGGTCACTGGCTTTGCTGGGTGTCACATGTCTATCCCTGATCCAATCACCTTCCTTCAGAAGAGCAAAGGAATTTTATTGGTCAGACCTGGGACTGTACCCATTTCTGAGGCTGAGGTTAAAGTCAGCCTCGCCTAAACACGTGGACCAAGAATAGGAGATGCAGTTCTTTGTGGAGAAACTAGACTATAGGGGAAAACAGCTGAGAAATTTACTCCCCTTTCATTTCATGTCCCATCCTCAATTATATCCAATATTATTCAACACAGCATATCCAAGTTCAAAAACATTAAAATCCAAAATCAAATTCTATAAGTTAAAGTTTAGAGAAAGTAAAGTCTTTCTGATTTATTGGTCTGTTCATTTTCAGCTTTAGGAATTTTTCCAGTAACACCTGTGATCTGAGATATCTCTCACTAGAATTGAGGTACTTATCCCAGGAAAAATGTTATTCCCATAATACAGTATTTATTGTGATTTAATGATATCCAAAACAGGAAGGGAAGATGGATGGCTCTCAATAGGATGCCAGGAAGTCTGTGCAATTGTCCAGAATCCATGGTCTATGAACCTAAACACAGTGAGGAGACTTCCCCCCATGGAAAAGCAATTCAGGCACTATACACTGGCTATATCTAGGGTAGGAGAATGTCCTACATAAACTGTCTCCTTTCTTATAAATTTGAGACGCCACTGCCTTCTGGCAAAGTTATAAATTTGCAACAAGTACAACCCAAGCACCAGCTTTTACCTGAGATTTCTTTCTTTTTATCCTGTGGATCCCAGTAGATTTCCATTTCCCCACCGAGCTCTGTGTTCCCAGCACTGACGTGCTGCACTGATAGTAAGTTTTACCTGGTAACACAACCTCCACAATATTTTGGGGACAGGCAGTCTCTTTTTCAGTGTCATATTTCAGTGGCTGCCACCACTGCCTTATTGAGGACCTGCTTATGCCTAAGACACTCCCCTCTAAACGAAGTTGCTACTCTTTCTCACCTTGATTTCAGCTGGAAGATCTTTTCCAGACTGCCAAACTGAAGCGGCTTTTGATGTTTCTCAGCGGTGCGCCCCTAGCGGCCCAGGAAGAGCAGTGCCTCTGCCGCATGTTCCTCAGGACACCAGCATTTCCGGGCTCTCCTCTGCCTTTGGGTTCTGTAAAGTTCTTAGACATGATCCCTCAGGATACTGACAATGCCTACTTGCTTACTTTCTACATTACCTTGAAACTCAGAAACTCCAGTATTTTCACCTTTTTTTTTTTTTTTTTTTTTTGAGACGGAGTCTCGCTCTGCCGCCCAGGCTGGAGTGCAGTGGCCGGATACGAATTCTTCACATCTCCTCCACAAAGCTTTCGGGAAACTGAGTCCTGCTTCTAACTTTGGAAGTAATTCAGTCTGGTTTAAGCCAAGCTGCGGAATCCATTCCCCCAGCAAAAATTACTGGTATGTGACCTAAGCTAGACCAGTCAGGATGAATCCCGGAACTTTTCCTTGCAAATGCTCGATAAAAGCACTCTTGCTCCCCCTACTGGTTGTGAAAAAAGAAGCATGCGCTGGCAGCTATACTACAACTCCAAGAAGAGCGCATGATAGAACTCGGATGGAAAAATAATTGTCTTTATCAAAGTATCACCTTGGAAGAGACTAGATTTACTTCAAAGAAAAACTGACCAAACTAATTGAGGGACTCCCCTTTGAGAACAGAGTGCCAACTCTAGAGCATATTCCTTTCTATATGTTTATATTCACTGGTGGAAAACCCCTGTCCTGTGAGGGTGGGTTTTATTTTTTAAACACCCTAGAAGTTACTCAAAACCAAAAGTAATTAGGTACGTGATCAATTTTAGTAATGACATTTCCAGGGTTTTTAAAAAGCAGAACTTTTTACTTGTGAGTAGTTTCCTTATTGCTAAAACCCTGGTCCTGAAGTCAGTATCTCTTTTTGAGCATGTAAAACCACTTCCGTTAAATGTGGGAAGAAAATGTTTTCACTTCTTTATTGCATCTTAGTGAACTTTGGATTTTCTTTGACATTTAAAAATAGTTAAATTCTATTGAAGTCTCAAAATAGCTAATCCTTTTTTTAAAAAGTTTTAGCACCTGTACATTTTAAGGGCTAAAACTCCAAGTTTACTTTGTCAAATTGCCAGGGCAACCAAGAACAGCGCCATATTAACACCTGCGTGTGACATCGTTGACTGAAGACATTGCAAAGAGGATGTTTAAAAGTTGAATGTGTATTCTGCATAGTCTGGCGCTCTCAGACAGCCAAACAGGATAGAGGCCAGATGGTTCCATATCTGTGTGGCCTCCCACATATCTTACATGCATTTGGAGTTCCTATTTTATAGAATTAACTGTTGCCAATTCCTTGTAACTCTCAAAACCCCCTTATTATCCATTCCAACAAAGGACATAGATATAATAAAGTTTGGCAAGAAACATTTAATCCATTTCAGTTCTCCCAAGTAGTACTATTCCTCTATCAATCTAAAGACACCAAATTTTGTCCTATTTTTAAAAATACCTCCAGTGAAGGCGTTTTTGCCAGTAACTTATTTCAGAATCAAGGATTCTAAGAGTCTGGTTTTTGTTAAAGCAAATAATCACACAATTATTTTTAAGACCATGGTGAGAAATATATTGTACTGATCTTCTCAGTATCTCTTTTGCAGAAAGATGAGTCCTTGTGAAGCTTACTTTTATAAAAAGTAAACTGTAGGACAGTAAACTGATAGGACATAAGAAAGTCAGATTCTCTGATAACCTGGCAAGCTTTTCCACACTTTTACTTATAATATTTTGAGATGAACAAATGATTAAGAGGAATTTTTCTTTGAGGCTTGGCTTTCCTAATTCTAGATAATAATCATTTGAGATTTTACAGCATTTTTCTTCAGAGATGCTCTAAGAACAGATATCTCATTTGTCTTCAGGAGGCAAATGTAAAATTGTGTGTTTCATTTTTTACTTTAGAAATGAATTTGTGGCCAGGCATGGTGGCTCACACCTGTAATCCCAACACTTTGGGAGGTTGAGGCAGGCAGATCACCTGAGGTTGGGAGTTCGAGACCAGCCTGACCAACATGGAGAAACCCCGTCTCTACTAAAAATATAAAAATTAGCCGGGCATGGTGGCACACGCCTGTAATTCCAGCTACTCGGGAGGCTGAGGCAGGAAAATTGCTTGAACCCGGGAGGTGGAAGTTGTGGTCAGCTGAGATCACACCATTGCACTCTAGCCTGGGCAACAAGAGTGAAACTCCATCTCAGAAAAAAAAAAAAGAAATGAATTTGTAATGTATCTAATGGAGAGCCAGAGTTTCTCCTTCTGTAAACACAGTAATAAAAACAATCTTAAGAAGTTTTGTCATTTTTAAAAATGATTCAATCATCTAAGTCCAGAAAATAAAATGGTTATGGGACCAAACTAAAAACAAAAATTAGTGAAAAGGAGACCCTCCTTTTAATTTCTTCCAATTAAAATTTTTAAAGTGTGCATTGGATGGAAGGAAACAAGAGAGTTGATATAATCGTAACTGTACATAGTGCCTAGTATATAACACAGGAAGCACAAAGTTTATCTCCCAAACAAACATGACAATGAGTTATTGAAACCACAAGCTGGTTTATTTATCAATGATGTCAGTACTTAAAGTTGTCCAGTTAAAATCTACTTCCTCTTGAAAAACAAAAATACACTGAAGGAAGATGCAAAGAGGTAGGAGTGGTATCATGATTTCACAGCAGTGATTGTAAGAAAGCGAGCCACAGGGACATGGGAAAACTTGAAAAGAGACAAGTATCAGGACCAAATTAGAGAAGATCTGAGTAGGGCCATCAGTAGAGGTGAAAATGGAGAAACCTAAGGAAACCAGTGTTGGTATGAATTATGCAAGTGGAAAATACATCTGTAGAGGGACTAGACAGAAGGACCTAAATCTAACTCCAAGTACTTGATTGGAGAAGAGAGAAAGAGAATGTATAGAATTAACTGTATAGAAGCCTCAAAAATAAGATTATCAGCCTAGTCATGTAAAGTGTAGAAGTTCGTTTATTTGCTCATCACCTTTTTCTATAAGACTATTAAGCAAAAGGTCAGAACAGCAAATTTACCCTTTCCTCTCCTCTCTTGGTTTAAATTGTATAAGGAACCTGAAGAGGCTGTGGATCAGTTGGCATTACAGTGGGAAGAGCTTATTGAAGCAAGGTTGACAATAGGTCTTGTCATTCTGCTCCCTGAAAATGCCCTTCGACAACTGTGTCAGGCAGAAAGCACACACAAAGTGCTCAGGATGGAACTTGTGCCCCATGGCACTGATACAACGGCCAGTGATGGGCTGTCCACATCCATGGCAGAGCGTTCCCCGGCGGTGATGGTAATGGAGCTCACAGAATGGACGTCCATCCAGTTCAAAGAAGGAACCAGTAGAAAAACTGGTGAAGCAGTCCTAGGGGTAGAGAGAAGAGAGAGAAAAGGAATGCAAATGTCAAGAGGTAAAATGTCAGCAACGTAAAATTTTCAGCCTTGAAATTCCTGCCAGTGACCTGCCAGCTACAGGAATTTCCCTCAGATTCTTGACAAATGGAGGCTAGATTGTCTGCTTGCAAAACAGACAAGCAAATGCCCACAATGGATTTGTATCTCGTTTCTCCTTTAGGATGCCCACATCCATTCCTCATTCAGGACTGCGAATCCTTTCACTAACTGCAGCTCTTCCTCTCAGAGAGGAGAACCCTTGACTTTCCCTAAGTCCAGAAGAAAAGTGATTATACAGACCCCACAAACAAAGCATTCTGGGTGCCAGACAGTGTCCATGGCTGAAAGGTAGTTTTCCAACACTGGACGATTGCAGCCACCACACTTGGGTGAGAACATGGCTAAGAAATCCTTTCGGCAATATGGCTTCTTGTCCTTCTCATGAAAGCCTGGAGAGATAAAATCAGGAATTCACTGTTGCAGGTTGAGCCGTGAAAGCTACACTGGAGACTGAGAGGAGGCCCTTTCAATCTCAGTGTCCTTGTATTCAAAATAGGATGATTATTGTTACCTAATTCAAAGGGTAGTTGTGAGAAATAAATGAGATAATGCAGGTGAAGTGTTTGGCAATCTCAGTGTCCTTGTATTCAAAATAGGATGATTATTGTTACCTAATTCAAAGGGTAGTTGTAAGAAATAAATGAGATACTGCAGGTGAAGTATTTTGCCATTGTGTCTGGTTCATAGTAAACATTTAATAAGTGTTAGGGGCTATTGCTCCTCAGTGCCTTTGTACTAAGTATTCCCTTGGCTTGGATAGTTCTGTCCCAGAGCCTGATATAGTTGCCCTCTTCATGTGATGCAGGGATCACTCAAATATCATCTTATCAGAGAGGCACCTCTTCAGTCCCTCCTTGTCACATCATCTTCTTTCACTGTCTTTATAGCATTTACCATTATCTAAAATCATCTTTGTGATCTATCTCTCCTTACAGGAACATTAGCTCTGAGAGAAACTAGATATTGTTGATCTTGTCACCATTATATCTCCAGTATCTAAAACAGCATCTGGGAAGAAAAAAAAGTGTCTAATATTTTAAAATAAAATACTAGTAAATAATAATTTCCAAATGGATGCAAGATCTAGACACAATGACTCATATCACATATTTAAATTAAAAATAGATGTATTCCTCTTTTTTTTATTTTTTGTGTGGGTATATTTTGATTGTTTACCAGCAGTGTATGAAAATCCCAGTTCTTCCTCAGTCTTTATATCACTTGATATATCCAGATATTTCCTGTTGAATCAATCAAATGGATGTTATCTATCTATACAATGTTATCTCATGGTAGTTTTGATTTGTATTTCCCAAACGGCTAATGATACTTAGGGTTTTGTTGTTGTTGTTGTTGTTTGTTTTGTTTTGTTTTTTAGACAGAGTCTCGCTCTGTCACCCAGGCTGGAGTGCAGTGGCAAGACCTCGGCTCACTGTAAGCTCTGCCTCCCAGGTTCATGCCATTTTCCTGCCTCAGCCTCCCAAGGAGCTGGGACTACAGGTGCCCGCCACCATGGCCGGCTCATTTTTTTGTATTTTTAGTAGAGACGGAGTTTCACCATTATAGCCAGGATGGTCTCAATCTCCTGACCTCATGATTCGCTCACCTCGGCCTCCCAAAGTGCTGGGATTACAGGCGTGAGCCACCGCGCCTGGCCAGGGTTTTTTTAATGTGTGCATTTGCATTTCATATCTTGTCATTAATGATGTAGTCCTCTTTAATCTGGAAATAGAAAAACTGTCATAAATAGGGCCCAAATTCCAAAAGCAAGTTAAATATTAATAAATTTAGCTACATAAAAAAATCTGAATGACTTACACATGTCAAAAAAGCACCATAAACAAAGACAAAGAACAATCTGAAGAAAATATTTGCTGATTATATTCCAGAAAAACATAGCTAATACAAAGAGCTCCTAAGTATATGTATGGTTTCAATTATTGTTGTATAAAATTAAAAAGTGAAAAAATTAAAATAGAAAAACACAAATCCCTAAAAAATTCAATCAAATTGAAGCAAATTAACTGTACATCAAACTGACGACACGAGCAATAAAAGAAATAATTTGGAGATTGCTGGCAGGATGGCCGAACAGGAACAGCTCTGGTCTGCAGTGCCCAGCGAGATTGATGCACAAGGCAGGTGATTTCTGCATTTCCAACTGAGGTAACCAGTTCATCTCATTGAGACTGACCGGACAGTGGGTGTAGCCCATGGAGGGTGAGCCGAAGCAGGGTGGGGCGTCGCCTCACCTGGGAAGTGCAAGGGGTCAGGGAACTCCCTCTCCTGGCAAAGGGAAGCCATTAGAAACTGTGCTGTGAGGAACAGTGCACTCTGGCCCAGATACTGTACTTTTCCCACAGTCTTCACAACCGCAGACCAGGAGACTCCCTCTTGTGCCTACGCCACCAGGACCTGGGCTTCAAGCACAAAACTGGGTGGCTGTTTGGGCAGACACTGAGCTAGCTGCAGGAGTTTTTTGTTTATTTGTTTGTTTTTTCATATCCCAGGGGTGCCTGGAATGCCAGCAAGACAGAACTATTCACTTCCCTGGAAAGGCAGCTTAAGCCAGGGAGCCAAGTGGTCTGGCTTGGCAGGTCCCACCCCCATGGAGTCCAGCAAGCTAAGATCCACTAGCTTGAAATTCTCGCTGCCAGCACAGCAGTCTGAGCTTGACCTGGGATGCCAGAGCTTGGTGTGGGGAGGAGCGTCCACCATTACTGAGGCTTGAGTAGGTGGTTTTACCCTCACAGTGTAAACAAAGCCACTCAGAAGATCAAACTGGGTGGAGCCAACTGCAGCTCAGCAAGGCTGCTGTGGCTAGACTGCCTCTCTAGATTCCTCCTTTCTGGGCAGAGCATCTCTGAAAAAAAAACGCAGCAGCCCCAGTAAGGGGTTTATAGATAAAACCCCCAAATCCCTGGGACAGAGCACCCGGGGGAAGGGGTGGCTGTGGGCTCAGCTTCAGCAGACTTAAACATCCCTGCCTGACAGCTCTGAAGAGAGCAGTGGATCTCCCAGGACAGGGTTTGAGCTCTGCTAAGGGTCAGACTGCCTCCTTGAGTGGGTCCATGGCCCCCATGTCTCACAATTGAGTGACACCTCCCAGTAGGGGCTGACTGACACCTCATACAGGAGAGCTCTGGCTGGCATCTGGCAGGCACCACTCTGGGATGAAGCTTCCAAAGGAAGGAACAGGCAGCAATCTTTGCTGTTCTGTAGCCTCTGCTGGTGATACCCGGGCAAACAGGGGCTGGAGTCTACCTCCAGCAAACTCCAGCAGATCTGTAGCAGAGGAGCCTGACTGCTAGAAGGAAGACTAACAAACAGAAAGGAATAGCATCAACATCAACAAAAAGGACATCCACTCAGACACTCCATCTGAAGGTCACCAAGTTCAAAGACCAAAGGTAGAAACATCCAAGAAGATGGGGAGAAACCAACGCAAAAAGGCTGAAAATTCCAAAATCCAGAATGCCTCTTCTCCAAAGGATCACAACTCCTCACCAGCAAGGGAACAAAACTGGATGGAGAATGAGTTTGACGAATTGACAGAAGTGGGCTTCAGAAGGTGGGTAATAACAAACTCCTCCGAGCCAAAGGAGCATGTTCTAACCCAATGCAAGGAAGCTAAGAACCTTGAAAAAAGGTTAGATGAATCGCTAGCTAGAATAACCAGTTTAGAGAAGAACATACATGACCTGATGGAGTTGAAAAACACAGCACAAGAACTTTGTGAAGCAAACACAGGTATCAATTGCCGAAACGATCAAGCAGAAGAAGGGATATCAGAGATTGCAGGTCAACTTAATGAAATAAAGCAAGCGGACAAGATTAGAGAAAAAATAATGAAACGAAATGGGACTCCAAGAAACATGGGACTATGTGAAAAAACCAAATCTACGTTTGACTGGTGTATACCTGAAAGTGATGGGGAGAATGGAACCAAGTTGAAAAACACTCTTCAGGATATTATCCAGGAGAACTTCCCCAACCTAGCAACATTCAAATTCAGGAAATACAGAGAACACCACAAAGATACTCCTTGAGAAGAGCACCCCCAAGACACATAATCATCAGATTCACCAAGGTTGAAATGAAGGAAAAAATGTTAAGTGCAGCCAGACAGAAAGGCCAGGTAACCCACAAAGGGAAGCCCATCAGACTAACAGCGGATCTCTTGGTAGAAACCCTACAAGTCAGAAGAGAGTGGGGGCCAATATTCAACATTCTTAAAGAAAAGAATTTTCAACCCAGAATTTCATATCCAACCAAACTAAGCTTCATAATCAAAAGAGAAAATTCTTTACAGACAAGCAAATGCTGAGAGATTTTGTCACCACCAGGCCTGCCTTACAAGAGCTCCTAAAGGAAGCACTAAACACAGAAAAGTATAACTGGTACCAGCCACTGCAAAAACATACCAAATTGTAAAGACCATAGATGCTATGAAGAAACTGCATCAACTAACAGGCAAAATAACCAACTAGCATCATAATGACCGGATCAAATTCACACATAACAAGATTAACCTTAAATGTAAATGGGCTAAATGCCCCAATTAAGAGACACAGACTGGCAAATTGGATAAAGAGTAAAGACCCATCAGTGTGCTGTATTCAGGAGCCCCATCTCACATGCAAAGACACACATAGGCTCAAAAAAAGGGATGGAGGAATATTTACCAAGCAAATGGAAAGAAAAAAAAAAAAAAGCAGGGGTTGCAATCCTAGTCTCTGATAAAAAAAAGACTTTAAAACAACAAAGATCAAAAGAGACAAAGATGGGCATTACATAATGGTAAAGGGATTAACGCAATAAGAACTAACTATCCTAATTATATATGCACCCAATACAGGAGCACCCAGATTCATAAAGCAAGTTCTTAGAGACCTACAAAGACCCAGACTCTTAGACTCCCACACAATAATAGTGAGAGACTTTAACGCCCCCCTGTCAATATTAGACAGATTAATGAAACAAAAAATTAACAAGGATATTCAGGAGTTGAACTCAGCTCTGGACCAAGCAGACCTAATAGACATCTATACAACCCTCCACCCGAAATCAACAGAATATACATTCTTGTCAGCATCACATCACATTTATTCTAAAATCAGCTACATAATTGTAAGTAAAACACTCCTCAGCAAATGCAAAAGAACAGAAATCATAACAAACAGTCTCTCACACCACAGTGCAATCAAATTAGAACTTAGGATTAAGAAACTCACTCAAAACCATACAACTACATGGAAACTGAAAACCTGCTCCTGAATGACTACTGGGTAAATAACAAAATTAAGGCAGAAATAAATAAGTTATTTGAAACCAATGAAAACAAAGACACAATGTACCACAATTCTGGGACACATATAAAGCAGTGTGT